GTCAAGAAGTTATCATCAATGCTTTGCAGGAACCTCTTTGACTGTTTGTGCCTAGCTGTGCTGTCTTCCCAACAGATGTCAGGGTGGTTGAAGTCTCCCATGAGAACCAGGGCCTGTGATCGTGAGGCTTCTTCCAGCTGTCTGTAGAAGGCCTCATCGATGACTTCCTCCTGATCAGGTGTCCTGTAGTAAACCCCCACAACAGTGTCACCCATGTTACCCTGCCCTTTAATCCTTACCCATAGGCTCTCAACTTGCTCTTCATCCACCCCGAGGCAGAGCTCCACACATTCTAGCTGCTCCCTCACATAAAGAGCAACTCCACCACCTCACCTTCCTGGCCTGTCTTCCCTAAAAAGCACATAGCCATCCATGACAGCATCCCAGTCATGTGAACTATCCCACCATGTCTCTGTCACTGCAATGAGATCATGGCCCTGCGACCGCACACAGATCTCTAACTCTTCCTGCTTATTCCCCATGCTGCGTGCATTGGTATACAGGCGTTTCAGAGAGCCAGTCAAGCACGCAGGCTTCCCAGAAGAGGTGCAAGAGGAGCCTCCATAGCCATGTCCCATGCTGTCTCCCCTGGTTGTATGCACCTGCTGGAGGCATCCTGACTCGAGCGGTGTTTTACTGACTCCCCTGCCACTATACCACTCCCCTTCCCCCATCTTGTCGAGAGGCCTTCAGAAAAGCCACAAATGTCACAAGATTAGCAACAGTCGTTAGTGTGATAACAGAAAGCCTTGCAAGGGTATAAGCCAAGCCGTGGAAATTGAGGCTACTTCATTAGACGGTAAAAGTCTCTTGCTGTATTTTGGAGCTGTCTTTGCATCTGCAGGAGAAAGGGTTCTTGTGCAACTCTCTCTTAGTGTCCAGCATGCTTTTGCTGCTTATTTTTTTTTCCACATTCGTTTCGACATGATGCAGGGAGACCACAGGTTGAAGTGGACGCATATCTTTTAATGATCCTAAATGGGATTTTGCATATATCATGCCCACTTGGGAAAGCACATATCTGTTACTTGGATAGCCTGGTTTTTATTTTTTTAAATTTATAACATAACAATTTAATATTGAAAAAAGACCTTTATGTATAATTATTAGCATTCTATTATTATCAAGCTTGCTTTCAAAATCAAACAAACAGGCAGACACAATCCTTGACAAATGCCCCCCACAATCAAAGGTCAAAGAAAGCGATTTGAAACATCCACTGTCAGCATTCTTTGGCGTAAGGATGACAATGGCATTTTAGATGACTCAGACTAAAAGAAAATGAAAGGTCTTTCTTCTGTTATCACAATGGACAGCTGGTAACGTCTTGCAATAACTTTTTAAATTGCAGAGAAGCATGATTAATCAACTTTTATAAAGGAAAAGAAGTATGTCTGCAGGAAAGGCATTTCTCTATCTGACTCAGCCTGAGAGCCACATGAGCAAATGGCGATGATGGTTTGAGGCAACAGAGCGTAAAGATCACCAGAACGCAAAGACACTATTAAAACACGATTAATCTGATTTCTTTTGTCCTGATTATGTTTTCTTTCTACTGGCAAGGTCAATCCTGCAAACTGTTTGCAAAACAAAGGACCTTTGTGTGAGAACCGCACACCTCACAGTTCTGAGAAATTTTTGTTTTGATAATACTATATTTTTCCTGGACATTTTTGAAATATTTTTCATCGTGCTGGCTTGAAAAGGAAATGCATATCTGTCTTATGATTGCTTAAAAAAAAAAAAGTGAGCAGAAATCTAATGATGGTTTTTATTTTCCACTGATTACATTCTGTATTGTTACTTTTTCAGTTGTTTTCCCTGACCTTCCCCCTTTATTTTGCTGTTTTGCTTCTGAAAACACTGAAAAACAAAAAAAAAAAAGGGAAGGGAAAATAAAATTCTGAGAAGTGGGGAAAAAAAAAAAAAACAACCAAACCGAAACAAAGTGAAAACTGGAAAACAGAATGTTTTATCTGAGCAAAGAAAGACTGGTGTTACTAAGTCTCAGGGACAATTCTCCTTCATGGATCTTCTAAGAGCGATGCCATTTCGAACGCTTTGTGAACTCGCTATGGGTCTGTTCCCTTTCCGGATCACGTACGGAGGGTCTAAGTGGATGAAAGAGCTTAGGGGCAACAGAGCCCTTGCTGAATGAACGATTACAGCAAGCGAACGATTGGCAGTTGCTCCGAGTGAGAAACCCTCTGCAGAATCACTGACAGGTATTATAGCAACGTGCGGTCTAATTTGTCCTTTCTTTACAAAGGAATAAATGGTTACGCGAAGTCAGAACAATGGAGGATCAAAACCTGCAGGATATGTGTCACGCAGGAAGAGATGATAACTTTAGGTCGAGGTTAGCTAATCCTGACCTAACCACAGCCTTTCCCCTAGTGTTGACTTCTACTGGAGAAAATGAAGTCGTCCTGCCCCACAAGGCCACAGCTAGTTCAAGGGTAAGGAACAAATCCTGCCTTAATCTTAGCCCTTTTATTTATTTTTTTCTAATTTGAGTAAATCCATGCTGACAAAAAGTGCAGAGACATTTCTCTCACTAGACCTGAAATTCTCAAATGGGAGTAAATTGTTTTGAAAATTGGTGGAGTGTGGGTGAAACATGCATTTTCTGCCTGTGGCAAACACAGATTTAAAAGAATCGTTTTACCCTGCTGATAACCTAGAGTGTAAAAAATCCTTTTATTTGTCAATGACATTTTTGGGTTTTTTTTTCCAAAGCAAAAAAAAAAGTAAAGATGAGGAAAGTTCCCGGGAAAGCTTTCATTTAACAAAAGGGACATTGATGTGGGAAAAGCTGTGGCCAGCCCCCCCCAGCAGGTACTACTTCAACGGTGTCATCAGAACCATCTAACAGGCACCAACGTGCACCAACAGAGAGATGTGAGCCTCTGGTAGGCAAGCGCTCCCTTTGCACCACCTCAGGAAGCTCACTCCAGCGTAACGCCGGCGTAATTGCATCTATCCGTGGGGTCACATCAGCGTCAGTGCGGCAATTGGGCAGCGCATCTGGACCGAAACGGTAAAAGGGTCGTGCGTCTCCTCGTTGGCACCAGCTACAACGCGGAGCTCTACGTGAGTTAGCCGCCCTCCTTGTAGCCCCACGGTTGACAACGTGAGGGATGTGAGGAGAACATCTGCCATCATCTTTCAGTGCAACGCAGGCCCACAATGCCCGAGGCCCACAGTGGCCGAGGCTGTGCTGGAGACAGGTTAGCCCCACTCGGGAGACCTGGCTGGTAAAAACTGCCTCCTGACACCGTCCAGGAGCAGGGATTCCTGCTCTCTGCCCAGCTGCAGAGCTGGAAGCTGCTGTAACTTTGGTGTGGCCCAGCTGCATACATCCTGTTATGGCAGAAGTCATCAGCTGGCCCAGTTACTCAGAAGTCTTGCAAGGTAAGGTGACAGCATTTTTGCAGATGCTCCCGTTGGTTAGTTTTACCACGCATAATCTGGTGAGGAGTGTTTGCTCTCTGCTGTGAGCTCTTTTACAAGTTCATCTAAGAAAAGAGCCTGCTTCTGCGTCACTGGTGCCTGCTTTCACTGGGAGGTGATCACCAAGATCTCTAGTTCACGGCATCTCTCATTAGAAATTTCGACAGCAGGCAGACACAACACCTGCAATAAGACAATCAAGGTTACTACAGAGGTATTGCTTCTGAAATGTCTCCTATGTCTGGCTACGGGCAGTAGAAATGAACGGGTAAATACAGCGGGCTTGAAGTACTTCAGTCAGGAAATCCTCCAAAAGCCAATGGTGTGGGGAAGGGAAGGGCTGAGGGAAAATAGATCTTCCCAGCAAAGTCTATGGAATAATTAAATGATAAATGTGAATGCTCTGTAGGCCAAGTTCAAACCTGCCCATCTCTCCTACGCAGTCTAGGTAGCAAATGGCATTTCCTAATAATTCCTCTTCCCAGAGACAGGCTGATGGCCAAAGGTGTGAAAAGAGGTCAAAGCCACGAACCAGAGAAGGCATCTGATACAGAGCATGAGCTCTTCATCTCTTTTTGCCATCACGCTAACTTCGCAGATCACCTAAGAGCAGTGTTTAGGGCCATTATTAATGATTACTGTTACTCTTTTCCCCATCTCTCTTTTTTTCCACAGCAGGAGTCGTTACCAACACCCTCCTGCGTGCTACGCGAACCAGACGGGGCTGGAAAGCAACAAGACATAAAGTGGGAGTTTAAGAAAGCAACCTCGGAGCAATGCACGAAGTAAAGAACGAACTGATTTGTTTTCTCTGCAGGGGATCAATCCCGAAGGCCAGCTGCTGTGTTTGATAAAAGCGCCACTTTCTAAATTGAAGAAAGGATCAAATACCCTTTTCTTTGAACGACTAAGCTCCGGAAGTTTGTTTTTCATTTTCCTTTTGCTCCTGGGTATGTTCTGATCGTGCAGGTGGGTCCTACCAACATAAAAACATTGGAAGGAAAAAGCTGTTAAAGGAACGTAAGTGAAATTGCTCTGCGGGGAAGGAGGGGACGCAGGGAAGACTCGTGTGTACTGAGCGCGCAGTTCACAGGTGCTCTGTGCCGACCACGGCACTATTATATATTACAAGCTCCATTAATAATTTACCCCTTTGCTGCAAACGTGCTCGTTGCGCGGGAAAGCAGCAGGACAACGCGCGCTGGGAGCGCGGGGGCGCTTTGCTAGACAGCTAGAGACCCTGCCCCAACAGACGGCTCCTCAGCCGCATCATCCCCGGACCGGTCTCCCCGCCGCCGCAGATGCTCGCGGGGTTTCCTCTTCGGCAATCTAACGCAACCTTCCTGAGCCTGGCTGCCCGCGCCGCTCCGAGTAACGGGGGAATTAGCGCCGTCCTGGCTAGTAAGCCTGCGATGGCTTTCATCTCTTCGGCACGGGGAAAGTGTGGACCTTCAGGGGGCTGCCCCCGCGGTCAGGAGGGGGGGCGTAGTAACCTGAAGGGTTGCTCGGAAGGAAGGGAGAAAAAGAGCCCCTTTTTCCTTTGCACTCTCCTCATCTTCCAGCAAAACTCTCCCTGAACGCACCCCGGCTGTGGCCCTGTTTGGAAACGCCGCTTCCGCCGCCAGGGAGGGATTGGACTGTACACCCAGAGAAACAAAAGCAGGCGATGGGAAGAGGCAAATGAAAGAACAAACACGGCCGTTTACCCTCTGGGTCCTGATCTTTGCTGCATCAAAGGAGCGAAACTAAAAGGCTTCTCTTAATGCTCCTGTTATTACACGGTCAGCAGAGTTGTCCTGCACCAGGACATGCGCTGCTGCCCCCCCCTGCCCAAGAGGAGGGAGTTCTTGCCTAGAAGACGCTCGGGGACATCACAACTGAGCGTTCGCTAAAAATCAGGTCTCCCTCCCCAGCTGTGTCACAAGCTTCCTTGCTGCATGCCCATCACTGGGTTGCTCAGTGCCTCAGTTTCCCTATTTGTCACAGTCGCGACGGCAGGCGAAAGGAGCGCAGAAAAGCGGCCTCAGCCCTGTTCTGGGCAATGCGCTGCATGAAATGCTGGGCGGCTGATCAGCTTTGGGAAACGCTCAGAGCACAGCAGCACTTGACATGCTCTGATGGGAACTGAGCTGGCCGCGCGTTCCCTGCAAAGGCAGCTGCAAGACACCTGGCCTGAGAAGTTGGCATGGAAGAAGAGAACGGACTGCCAAGGAACAGGTTATGCTCAAGGAACGGTTACTCATAACTGTTGCCTCCCCTGGGGGCAACAAAAATAACTAACGTGAAATCAAGACACTGCAAAACGAAGCTCCACGAGAGGGTAACGTGAGCAGTGGTGTTTAGGCTAGAAGAGACCGACGGCCCATAGGTCTGACCTTGGCGCGTCGTGGCATGCCAAGCGGCACACTTACTCGTATCACTTGTCAGGCTGCCATCGTAGCTGCTGCTGTCACCGGCTTGTATCAGCTTCCTTGGCCTGTTGCTGACTGCAGTGTACCAAGAGCAGTACCCGACAGGTCTGCAAGCACCTGGAGGGCCTTACCATCCAGGTAGGAAACCAGGCTGGGCTTTGGACAGCCCGATTTCACTCCCTGGGTGACCTACAGCAAGTCAGTCAGTTTTTGCTCCCTCTAGTTTTTGCTCCTCCTTTTCAGAAGGAGAATAATGATTACTCCTTGGTCTGTTCAGACCCTAAAGCCCACATCCTCAAAGCTGCCCTGGTCACCAGTACCCAGCACCTAATATCTCAATGCTTTGGAGAGCTGGACCTGCAGAAAGTTTGGGGGGGG